TGAATATTTGAGAAACTCAGTGCATTGCTTTATTGATTTTTATTCATATACAATATTATTATTATTTTGACAATCACCTGATATCAAATGGTAGTTCTATTTGGGTTTTCTCTGATGTATAAACAGAGGGTGGATAGTCACTAAACAAAAATATGAAATATGATAGATTTATATAGATTTATATCAATTTATAGCAGTTGCTTACCACCCTCAGAAGAGAACTGATCTTTCTTATAGAATAAAACAAGATTTTATCTTCAGACTGGTGCAGCTGAAAGAAGGAGTTTAATCCCTGATGGGCATACACGCCATGCACAACGATACCGTTTTTTTACTCGACCAGCTGTGAGGACTGCACTGCTGTGGAAGATTCCTCTCAATGGGGCTTTAAGGCTTACAACTCCCTATTTTGGATAAGCTATGGGTTTTCCTTAAAATTCCCCTTAGTCGGAAAGACTATAACAAGAAGAATAGCAATCCCTTTTACCCTTCCTCCTACAAACCTCCTTATCTCTCTCCTACCTGCTCCACAACTCGATGCAAAATGATCTAATTGGAGAGGCCTCCAAGTGTAGAAACAAGAAACAAGATGCAAGAAGAAAAAAGAAAATTGAACAGCAAAAATTGGAAGGGAAATCTCTTGATATTAGAGATTGGGGCTTGGAAGTCGTCCCCCCCCCCGCCAGGGAGGAGGGAGGTGAATGAGACAACCCCCTCTCCATACCCCCAAGAAATTATCAGGAATTTGTTCTTTGCTTAGTCAGATGGAACTCATAAGTAAATAATTCAATAATGAGTTCTGAAAAAAAAAATTAAGATCCTCAGCTAGTTCAATTAAACAGCCGAAATATGATTGAAAGATGTACAAACAAGAAGAAAATGAAGAACAAGAAATATAGAAATCTCAAAATATTTTCATCTGATATCATATGAATTTTTAAAAATATTTTAAAACTTAAATAAAATAAATTATTAAAGTTAAAAATATCAATTTATAGAATAAAGAGAAGAACTCTGTGCATACAGTCTTCTTGGATAAATCAAAAACCTGAATAGCTTTTTGTTATTATAGTTTAGCAAAAAGTAACAGCTTATAATTTATGAATTTTAACCTGAAGGGAAAGGAGATTACACCTGGATCATCTAGTAAACCATACTGACCAGGGTCCTAGACAAAATTATTATTTCAAAGGAACTGAGTCTTTGCTACACAGGATTCACAGTTTGAAATATCAAAGATGTATAACATCAGTCTTCAAACAGTAAGGATTAGAAAATCAGAGTTTGTGACAAAAACTCAATTTTTTTGGACTATTTTATCTAACAGCATGAAAAAAACATTTGCCGTCTTGACTTTGTAATTTTTTAGGCCTTATAAAATTATCCACAGAACACAGCGATTCAAAGGTTGAAGCTCTAATGTAAAAATCAATGAGAATTTTGCCAAGTACTCCTTGAAAATTAAAGTTAAAAACAAGTGGTTTATAGTACTGAAATATCTAGGGCTACAAAAAAGTATAAGTGAGTTTGTGAGGTAAAATCAACGATTAAGTCTTTGCGACACTTTATATAGTTGACATAGTCCTGAAAATATATAGTTGACACAGTCTTGAAAATTGATGCAACTGTTCATAACGTTCTGGATCAATGGGAGAATGCTCCTTCACTTTTATCACAGCTAACAAGCTGTCGTTGGCGGAATTGCTTTGGATTCAACCAATGAGAGCTGCGTATGAAAACGATCAACAAATCAGAAGCTTTAGACCATTGTTAGGAGTTTGGCGATTTAGGAATCTAATTGGTCGTAACAAATCTCATAATTGGATAAAGAAAAAGTCTACAACATCAGGTTCTGAAGATAATAGAACTATGTGGTGTCCGTACCATGCAGAGATAAATTGAATTAAGAGATCAAGATTAAGAGTGCCCACCATGGAGATTTAGATCATCTGTTCAAGATTAACAATACTTTACAAAAAGTTCTGCCCTCTTTTTCAATATTTTATTTAGTTCTAATACCCCCATCAAATATTTTTGATCCCTCCCTTGAACAGGATTTAAATTACCTCTAAGTCTATCTCAACTGGTGTCTCTATTCGCGGAGTGCCCCCTAACATAAGCCTGTTTAGTAGGGGCGAGCTGGCATACTTCTCAAACCGGGTTTTCCCACCTTTTCCGTCAACTTTGCTGAACATACAGGGTGAGTCAAAAAAAGTGTGATTATCGGCGCCTGGTGCAATAGTGCACCCTTTTTGTGCAACTCTTCTGTATGGTGTTTTTTCAATATTTTTTGAAAATTTTTAATTTTTTGGTACTCTTATGGTTCAAAAAAATTCCGCGAACCCTTTTTTCTCTCAAAATCAAAAGTTTATAAAAGCAGAGATATATGTGTATATAAACTATTTCTGTCGAAATCTAAAATTTTATAAAGATTGAATCACAGAATCACAGAAAATTGGCCAAATTGTAATAAGAAATTTGCAATTTTCAGTTCCTGGTCTAATTTTTAAGGAAAATTTATTTGAACTCTTTATTTCCTTTATTCTTAGTATATTCAAAAGTTAAAAATATACGCTGATCAGTTGAAATCTAAAGAACCATTAAAAAACAACTTTTCCTTAAAAATTAGAACAGGACTGAAAATTGCGAATTTTCTTACTACAATTTTGCCAATTTTCTGTGATTCTGTGATTCAATCTTTATAAAATTTCAGATTTCGATAGAAATAATTTATATATAGATATGCTATTCTGAACTTTTGATTTTGAGAGAAAAAAGGTTTGCGGATTTTTTTGGGCAATTGGAGTACTAAAAAAATATTGAAAAATCTCCATACAGGAGAGTTGCACAAAAAAGGTACACTTTTGCACCAGGTGCCGTATATCATACTTTTTTTTGACCCACCCTGTATATATTAGACAAAAAACCTAAAAATCTTAATGAATTATATTAAAAACTGGGTAATATGTATAACACAAATTATCGAATTTTAACTGACATATTCTAAAATTTTACAAATAGAAGTTCAATCGAAATTATGTCCTTCAGTTCTTTTTTGAAATATTTATTTTTCTTCTTTTAATATTCATACCTTATTGAACTGCTAATTGAGTTATAGGATTGATTCAGACTGATTGCTGATTTCTCATTATTCTTAGTGATCTGATTCAAAATATCATTATTTCCTCAATAATGGCAGCATGATGATGATAATGCTAATGAAGATCATGTCGATGATGATTCTGGAAATAATAATGATAAAGAGAATAATGAGTATGAATGTGATAGTAATAATGAAGATGATGAAAATAATGATGATGATGGTGATAATAATGATAGTAATGATAATAATGATAATAATGAGAATAAAGATAATAATGATGATAATGATAATAATGATAATAATGATAATAATGATAATAATGATAATAATGATAATGATAATAATGACAATGATGATGATGATGATATCGATGATGATGATGATGATGATGATGATCATGATTATGATCATGATTATGATTATGACCATGGTTATGATTATGATGATAATTATGATTATGATAATAATGATAATAATGATAATAATAATAATAATAATAATAATAATAATAATGATAATAATAATTTCGTGCTGACACATTTTAAAATAAAAAAGTTTCAAACGAACGATTTTTTAGTTTTTGTTGTAAAAATTCCTGGTTTGATAAACTCCAGGAAGGGTGAAAGAATAGAAGAAGGTGAAGTAGGTGAGAGAAGAGAAGAGGAGGAGGAGGGTGAGGGAAGGAAAGGGGAAGGAGAAGCAAGGGAGGAGGGAGATGATAGAAAAGACGAATTAACAACTAAATTGACTCCTGAAATATTTAACTCAATTATTAGGTAGCCACCATCCATGCATTAAAGTTTAAAAATACCCGGTCTCAAAACTATTCACTTTTTCATAATTTGTAAAAAAAAATGTTGAAGATTTAATGAAAAGATATTACGTGATTTTCTTGAAATAAAATCATTGAGAATTAAATAATAATGCAACCAAAAAGTGTTTTAATCGTTTAGATCTACACACTGAGAACCGGAGGACGACATTATAACAATACTTAACTAAGCGCACTTAATGTTGTTGCTAGGGTTTCCAGCGAAAAGGAAAAATCGTTTTGCATTATTTTCGCATTTCGTTCGTTCGCGAAAAATGCGAAAATTTCGCGAAATTTCGCTTCTATCTCTTTCGCGAAATAGAAAATGCCCAATTGATGGATTAACACAAAATATAAATATAGATTTAAGAAAGACTAGGAAACATCAGAAATTTTCGCGAAATTTCGCTTAATTTTTTTTCGCAAAATATTTTGCGAAATGCGACCGAAAATGTTCGCATTTTTTCGCGAAACGTTTCGTTCGCTGGAAATCCAAGTTGTTGCAAAGCATATAGTTTTACAAGAAGCTTATATTCAATCAATTGTTAAGTGAGATGGGTCTGTTTACACTGCACAACTACTGCGTTGTCTCATGATTATTTGATGTTTAAAAATCATAACTTGAGTCTAAAGGTCGTCTTCCTTTTTTAGATTTCTCTGGTTCTCACTGTTGAGTAAATATTGAAAATATTCCTGATTTGTTTAAAATGTTGATCAAATCCATTCCATCTTGTTCACTGTAAACAGCTATTTTTGCCACCTAGACAGACAGGGGTTAACGCTGGAAGGGAGTGTTCGTGAAAATGAAACAGGGATACAAAATGCATCAGAATTAAATTTGGTAAAGATACACAAAAAAGTGTTGACTGGTTTTTTATCATGAAAAGTGAAAACTATCATTCAGCACAATTATGGTCGCCCTTTTAATCCTCCTTATAAAAACAACTTCTCTCTCTCAAAATTTACAAAGGTTATTTTTACAGAGACATTTCCAGTATAAATCATAACAGTTGCAAACTATAATTCCATATTCCTCTGATTAAAAGAAAGAGCGAAGAAGACAATAATTTTACTTTAGATTTTTTATCATCAGAGGCCGAATTAAAAAAAATGTAAGCGGAGGCTTAAATTTAAGTCGCGGCTCAAATATGGTTGGTTTCACTTAAAATTGTATTCAATGTTTCAAGATTTAAGCCGGCGCTCAATTGAAACCGGTTTTGGGCGGATTTAAGACGCGGCTCTAATTCATTAAATTCGGACTCTTTATATAGAGAGATGTATCTATCATGGTGGGGTCCATACAAGTGCAGAATAGAAAGACGACTTATTGACTCAAGTACTGATTTTAAACATGTCAATGCAAATAAGCACACAAAAGATTTCTGAAATGTATTTATCCTATTCCACAGTTGTATTTATCCTATTCCACAGTTGTATTTATCTTATTCCACAGTTGTATTTATCCTATTCCACAGTTGTATTTATCCTATTCCACAGTTGTATGGGCGAATTTGAAAAGTATTTTACTCTAGGAAAGGCATTAAAGGGACTGTAAGGTTAATTGTTAAGTGATCCTTCATGAAAAGATGGCGATGCCCGATTCTATTCTGATCAACAATGTGGAAAATTGTCGTTTTTCCAGATTTAAAAGTGTTTAATTCAGATAATTTCCATAATGTTTTCCTACAGCAGAAATGCAAAAGTCACTTTGTAGAGAAACATCAATTGAGTATAATCAGTTATCAAAACTTAAAACATTGAAATCTAATTCCTAAACTTGTTCGGACAAAGGTTTTCAGGGTACCGTTGTAAATCGGGCATTGCCATCTTTACTTTGAGGGTCTCTTGAAATTACACTTACACTCCCATAAACATTTTATTTGATAGTACCTGGCTGTTGGACTTGAGAACAAGTGTAAAATCACGTGCTAAAATACACAGTATAAATTAAACTAACGTGCTAGAAGTACAAAACAATTGATATAAAGTGCTAGAAGTAGAAAAACACTCAATATAATATGCTAGAAGTATAAAAACACTTAAAATAACGTTCTAGAAGTATAAACAATTAAAATAACGTGCTAGAAGTATAAAACAATTGATATAAAGTGCTAGAAGTATAAAAACACTCAATATAATATGCTAGAAGTTTAAAAACAAATAAAATAACGTGCTAGAAGTATAAACAATTAAAATAACGTGCTAGAAGTATAACCAATTGATATAACGTGCTAGAAGTATAAAAAGTTAAAACAACGTGCTAGAAGTATAAAACAATTGAAATATCGTGCTGAAACATGATAATCGACTAAAATTACAGCTTAAAATTACACTTTAAAGAAAAAACTGAAAATATAACAAAAAAGAAATGTTTGTGCTGATCTTTAAAAATCTTTACATGATAAAAAAATGAAAAAAAGAAAATTATTATTAAAATTCAGATTTAAAAAAGTTAGACTGGTATAATTTTCCATACATCTGTATATAATTTTTAAAACTTTAAAAATATTTAAAAATTGTTTAAAGACAGTGGTTTCCAAAATAATATGGAACACTTAAAGACGACCTGTAAGTTATGAAAGTGTAACTACCTAAGGGATGCGTATAAACTACAGCCAAGTTTGTGAATTGAAAATATGTAACAAAGGGAGTGTTGTCGACTGTTTCTAAACTCAGTTTTTGTCGAATTCTGAAAAAAAATGTATCAAAAAAATTTAGAATTCTTTTTTTCCACTTTTGATTTTTTTTAATAATCATTTTTAACGTTTTTTCTAAAATGAAATAACCGAGAAAAAGCATATTAAAAGTGTTTTTATCAAATAGTTTAATTACGATGGATTTCGCAATAGAAAAACTTTGAAAATGTGCCCTTAACATTTCAACTATTTGAAATTAATATCTTTTGTTATTTTCTTTACCTGTGAACCGTTAGGGTACTTTTTGTCCATTTGTTACTTTTTGATCATCATATTTTATTTCCTTATATCTCAATTTTTCTCAAAATTGTTTACTGAATTTATTTTTTTGACCGCATTTATATTACGGTTAAATCTTGATATTGTTAGAATGATTTTTGATTTAATAAAAAAAGATTTCAACCATGCAATAAATAAAATATTTGATTCCTATAATATTTTGTTGATGTTGGAAGAAACCATTCTACGTTCCATACTTTACTCATTCTAGAGATTCCATTCTTTCTTCCTTTATTTATTCAATCTCATTCCTTCCATCTCATTCTATTCCCTTCCTTCTCCAATCCTTCTCCCTTCCTTCTCCCTTCCTTCTCCCCTCCACTACCTTCCCCCTTTAGCAAATTCTTTATCATACACAAAGTAAAGACGTTAATAGGAAATGACATTTTAGTTTTGTTGACGCATGTTTTTACAAATGTATACAATTCAAAAACTCCTTTGTAATTTTTGCTTTAAACTAGGAATTACTTTACTTATTGCGAGGAGGGATGGGGTTGGTATATACATTTTATTATGTCGTATTTTGATTGATGTTGGCAAGAAGAAAAGTCGGGTTTTGGAAATCAATGTTTAAAGCCAAATAGATTATCAAGTACAATAGGTGGCAACAGATAAATTATACGCGACGTCACAAGTGTCAAATATAACAAGGAAAACAATATTTTCTCACATTAGTTGACATGTTTTCAAAAATTAAATAAATAAGTGTAAAAACAGAAAATAAAGAACACATAAAACTAATATTATTTAACTGTAAGATAAGCACTTATATCTAAAAATATCACAATTATTAATAATTTTGTCGGACACAAAAACTGAGTTGACAATTGTGACGTCAGAATACAGCTGTACTGAGAGTGTACAAATTCTACGTTGCCATCTATTGTACTAGAATCTATTTGGTTTAAAGCTTTGTGATTTAAAGGTTTCAAGCTCTCAAGCAAACAATAAGAATTTTGCCAATTACTTCTTAAAAACCAAAGCTTACAGCAAAAACTTTATAGTTCTAAAATGTATATGTAAAGGGCAACAGAAAAGCATAGGAAAGTTAGAGTGGTAAATCAAAGCCCAAGGCGTTACGACACTTCAAAGTCTCAAAAATGTATAAGACTTTTTATAAGCAGGCTAAATTAATATGAAGCATTTCTACGATGTGTATTTACTGAGTTTGGGCTCAAAGTCACGTTCAAAATCATAAATTTGGGTGGGTAATGGATACTTTTTCAGAATCAGTTTTTTTAAAATTATTAAATAACGACGACAAAAAATATTGTAAAAATTCTACAGTAAACTAGTTAGATGTTTAGGAACATATTTCTCAAAAGAAATTTGTGAATAAATCGAAGTTAGAATTAATTATTTCCTTTTTCATCATTATATTGAATTTCTTATTTTCTATGAATTTGTTCGCAGATGTCTACATATTCTTCAAATTTCGTCTTCAATAAAAATTCCAGGAAATCTGCAGAAAATGTTTGTGACTAATGAGAGATTAACAAATAAATGAATAAGATTACATATTTTCGATGATAAGAGTTAATCTTTATTTTCTCAATCTGTTCCTAAACAACTAATTAGTTTATACTGTAGAGTTTTGTTATGGTTATTTAATAATTAAGAAAAAAAAAACGATTTTGAAACGCACCCATCCAACATAATCAACAACATCAATCAACATAATAAAATGTATATACCAACCCTATTCCTCCTCGCAATAGGTCTAAACACATTGAATCGCACAATGAATCACTCATTGAATCACACATTTAATCATACATTATTATCATTATATTTATTTGAATAAAACTGTTCCTGTAGAGTGTATGAGTGTATGAGTGGGTGTATTTAACTAAACTGTTTTTAATCAACCGAAAAGATAAGAAAAAATTCAAGGCAAAGCAAATGCACTGTTCTACTGTTAGTTCAGAATTGTTGAGATAAACATTGAAAGAAAGAAAAAAATTACATTTCAATGATTAATTCAGTAGTTTTGGAATTAAAAATAATATTACATCACTGACATTAAATTCTTAATAATGTACATGTCAATGTTAATGTTAATATTTTAGTATGACCCACTAACAAAAAATAATTACCAACTTAAATGTTTGTTAATGTGAAATGTTAATGTTAATGTTAAAGTTAACATTATATGTATACTGTACCATTAAACTAACCAACTTAAATGTTTGTTAATGTGAAATGTTAATGTTAATGTTAAAGTTAACATTATATGTATACTGTACCACTAAACTAACCAACTTAAATGTTTGTTAATGTGAAATGTTAATGTTAATGTTAAAGTTAACATTATATGTATACTGTTCCACTAAACTAACCACCTTAAATGTTTGTAAATGTGAAATGTTAATGTTAATGTTAAAGTTAACATTATATGTTTACTGTACCATTAAACTATCCACCTTAAATGTTTGTTAATGTGAAATGTTAATGTTAATGTTAACATTATGTATACTATATACCACTAAATTAACCAACTTAAATGTTTGTTAATGTGAAATGTTAATGTTAATGTTAAAGTTAACATTATATGTATACTGTACCATTAAACTAACCACCTTAATGTGAAATGTTAATGTTAATGTTAAAGTTAACATTATATGTTTACTGTACCATTAAACTATCCACCTTAAATGTTTGTTAATGTGAAATGTTAATGTTAATGTTAACATTATGTATACTATATACCACTAAATTAACCAACTTAAATGTTTGTTAATGTGAAATGTCAATGTTAATGTTATTGTTAATGTTAACATTATATGTATACTGTACCACTAACCTAACTAACTTAAATATTTGTAAATGTGAAATGTTAATGTTGAAGTTAACGTTATATGTATACTGTACCACTAAACTAATCATCTTAAATGTTTGTTAAATGTGTAAAGCCACTGTTAATGTTAATGTAAATGTTATTGTAATTTTATTTAACAAAGATTCTATATATTAAGAATAAAAAATTGGATATTATATCAATGTTAATTTTAACATTATGTACTGTCCCATTAACAGTATATACATGACACCTTACACATTAAATGTTAATGTTAATTTTATTGTTAATGCTGACAATGTATTGCTATATAGCAACTATACTAAACACCTTAAATGTTTGTAAAATGTGAAATGTCAATGTTAATGTTAGTGTAATGTTATTTAACAAAGATTCTATCAATTAAAATAAAAAATCGGATATTATATTTATACTACTATATATATATAATATATTTTGACCCCCATGGATATGTTTAGGGTGTCCTAAAAAATTAACTTTAAGACATTGAAGATTTCACCATGGTTCAATTTTTTTTAAATTGTACATTTTTAAAATCTATGGAACATTTTTGATCGATTGATATTAATAAGAGGTATGTAACACTAAAATTAAGAAAGTAGTGACCGTTTAAAGATTTCCTTTTGGCTTGGTTGAGTTCATAAATTGATTTCTTTCGAATTTTAAACATAATTTGGAATTTCATTAGGGTCTTAAATACATGAGTGCTAATGTCATTAAGGTTGTTTATTTTGGTACACCCTGTATATATATCTATAGTTCAAGAAAGGAATGAATATAATTATACAAAGTAACAGAATGGTGTTTCAGTCGTAATATAACACAAAATTCCTTTGTTGATTGAAACTTAGGTTTGTTATTCAATTTGTCTATTTTTAATATTTGATATTTTAGTATTTTTGTGCGTTTCAAGTTATTATGCAAGCAAGTTTTTTAAATTCCGACTCAGAAATTATTTTTTTTAAATCCTCGTTTTACAAAAAAGTTTTCCTTCAGATTTTTATATATGCATACAAATTTGTTTGTACTTGAGTTGTAAACAGTACACACAAAAAATGAAATTGTACTTTTACCATGTATCAAATTATTATGCAAGTGGAAACTTGGTAACCTAAATCACAGAAATATGGGAAATAAAGGTGAACTGGAGTGAAGGGTAAAGAACAAAAACTATAGAGGAACTTGCTCCCTGTATTTCATTAAAATACATAAAAATGTCCTTTTTTTTAGAAATTAAGTTTCATGCAATTTTAGAAGAAAAAAGAAGATCTTTGCATGGAGGTTCACTTAAAATTATGCTGAAAGTCCCTTTATGGGGAGTACACTACTGCTCATTGGTAAACTTCCAGAGCCCTCGGCTCTAGTCTTAATTCCTTAAACCCAGCTTTAAGACCCAATCTCAGGTAATTTTCCACAGAGTTGAGTTCATTAAACCGGTTTGTGTATTTGGCTGATTTTCATGGTTGGAATTGTGCATTCTGGTTTTGATGAGAATAAGACCCAATATTGAGCCTTATTCTTCACTAAAGCCAACCAAGGTTGGTTTTATTTTCATTGGGCCTAACTCTAAAGTTGAGCCTAAGATCTTGCAGCTGTCAATCACATGACACAAGCTGTTGTCAAAATTGGGTCTAAGATTGGGTCTTAAAGCTGGGTTTAAGGAATTAATACCCAAGCAAAAGCCTTTAAATCACAGACTCAGGGCCACCTGTTTCCTAGAACTTTAATTAGTGCTAAATACCATCGTCTATCCTACATCCATTTATTACCATATAAATGTATGATATGTGAACCTTAATTCAATCTGATTTCAGATCAGGGAAAGCTTACTTTGATTAGGAGTAAATTAAGAAAATGTAAGATTTAAAAATGAAAAACTCCAATATAAAAACATATAGAGATTGAAATGGTACATATTGAGTGAAAATCATTGCTCTGAAATATTTTATATTTATATTTTCGAACGTTCACAATCTTTGTCTTCACCTGCCATTAGCTAACCACGCCAAATTACACCCAATACTCTCATCTCCATTCTTTGCAATGGAAAACCGGTTTCTTAACATCACTGCTACATTGTTGGCTTTCCCGTGGACGCCAGTTGAAGTCCCAGTGTCCGGAAATACTACACCAGGATTGGAGAAAAAGTTAGTCCGAGTTGGATACTTAGGAGCAGCATACGCCATTATGCTTCTAAACCCTGATTTCCCCTGACCTGCTGGGAAAAAGTATCCAAATGCGTAGGGATTTGCTGGATTTGTATCATCCTCAACATTATGAGCACATCCCAAATTGTGCCCGAGTTCATGACCAAAGCTATAGTTTGTGTCTGCACATGATTTTGTAACAACAGAAATTGTTCTACCAGAAGAAGCAACATCAAAGTAAGCAATTCCGCATGAGCTGAAGTTTTCTCCAGAAACCAATAGGGTTGCAGCATCAGCAGAACCTAGTATATCTTTATGATTTCCCTTGAAGTTTTCAAATTTGCTCAGCTGTTCTTGTGCAGAATATAATTCAGGAATGTTCAATGGTTCAATACAATGAACAACAATGGTTATAGGGACCATGCTGTTTTGAAATCCTTGATTAGTCAGAGCTGCAATCTTTGCAACAAATCCAACGACATCTGGGGTTTTTACTAAGAACTGGGGAGTAAAATAAAACCTAACAGAAATATATACCATGGTAGTGTTGTCATTGTGTATTTCAGGTGCCATTCTGTTTGCAGTGCTTTCAGTAACATTTACATCAACAGAGTCGTCTTGACCGTGACCTATTCCTCTATTTCCAGTTTGGCCATATTCAAGTTTTTTAATCTCATTCAGATCCATCTCTTTCCATAGATGAACCCCATCTCCAACATATTCTAAATTATAAGCCCTACCATCTCCTAAGGTTGCAAGGCCTTGCATAGTTTTATTGACTGGGTTGTATGTTATAATTAAAACTGCATCATTCCCTTCATAGTTGTAAGCATGTTCATCTCCGGGCACTTTATTTTTGAACTTCAGCTTAATGTTTCCAGGTAGTTCAATAGTCTCTCCAAGCAGATCTGGATTTATGTTGGCTTTGACGCAGGATTTAACAAAAGTTTCTTTACAGAACTCTGAAGATTCATATTCAAAAGATCTAGAAAACGCCGAATCACCTGAATAAATCAGTTTAGATGTGTTTTTTTGTCATTTTTAACCTATAGTTTTCTAAATCTACCTGATGGGTTTAAATCAATCAAAAGCCTGTTCGAGCCACCTGAATTTTTATTCTCCGATGCATCTATTACATTTTGATATTCATATTTTCTTTATAAAAAATAGCTAATGATAACTATTAAAGCATCAAACATGAGTTATTGAATCACACAACTAAATCAAAAAACTCAAGAAAAATATATTCTCCTGGAAAAATCTTAATAGAATTTATCAAGATTTCAAAGGTAAGCAACACAAAATAGTTACTTAATTAGTTTTACTGTAAATCATATTTAAAACAAAATTGTTCAATTTTTGATGCACAAAATAGAATAATAAAGCAGAATAAGAATAAATATTGTTGTGAAGCTCACTTCAATTGTTATAAACAAATGTTTAATTAGAAATTTTTAATTAGAACTTTTTCTAAATTGATAAAAGTGTTAGGAATATTGACATAGTGAAGCCTAAATCATATGTTATAAACAGATGATTATACAGTTGCTAGAAATTTAATGCAGTGATTCATATTTACATTTCATTCTAAATTTTCTAAATTTAAAAGCTTTTCAAAATTTTTCTTTAAGAACCTGCACACTGCAAATAGGATAAAAAATCGGGATCTTTAGCAAGACAATATTTTAATCCAGTTTTACCAACCAACATCTGACTATCCTAAAACAAACAAATTTATAATTGGGAAAAATAAAAAATACTATTTTGGTTTATATAAATTCTACAATGTATCTTTTTGACTATGATTAGGAAGTACATTAACTTTAAATCATATACTTTGGAAATTGTACACCAAAAAATTTAATAACTTATTTCCATTCCTCAATTGTTAACACTTTTCAATTATAAATCTCCGAATTAATCAGTATCTGTATCTTAAAACTTGTCTGCATGTCCTACAGAGCTGGAAACTCTTCTATTGAAGATATCAAGATCAATGCTTGCCTTTTTTTATTAATCTGCAGATTAATTTCTATATCAAGGAAGGTGTCTAAAATGAAACCAATCAGAGTGTCGCCAAACAGCTAATCAAAAGCACAACCAATGAGAAAACTCTCATTGGTAGGAATCAAGCAGAGATATTTAAAAGAGAGGATCAACCAGAAAAACAAAAGTGTTCAGAGTGAATATTGGGATCAAGCAAACAGGATTAAGGGTATTCAATATAAGAGTTTCCAGCTCATATCAAATTGATTCCCCAATATCCAAGGGTAGTCAGTCTTACACAACAGGGATAAGTATAATTAAGGAAATAAGTATTATCCCTCAAATCAAGTCTTGTTGAATAGCCATATTCCATATAAAAGTTTTGACCTCAAATCTCAATTCTAAAGATTCAAAGATGGAAAACAAACTTTGAAATCCTCATAAGACATACAAACTGTTTTTTAATACACTTTTTGTCATTTATTAGTATTCAGACAGCCTTCTCTCATTATCAAGTTTATTAGAACCCACACAGTATGTTCAATGTATGTATGAATATATCTACCTCTTTGCATCCTGGAAAATTAGTTGGTGATTCTTCAATAATTTTATATGTTTGTCCCTTCCCATCATATACTCCGTTGTCACATTGCCAACTGCCTGGTACAACTAATACAAAATAAAACAACTTGAGAATAAGAAAATTCCAGTAAACTCTCATCTCCGTGAGTTGGATAACTGAAACCTGACAGGAATACAATGCAGAAGCATCACCTGAATGGGAGGCACAAAATCTACTACAATGGAGTTTCTGATTTTGAATTTAAATATCTAATTATGTCAGAATATTGAATTTTTGTTTGCATTGTAATTTCTACATTAAATAAATAACAATACATTTTTATTATTAACCATGTGTAAACAACAAACACTTTTTTATCTATTATGCTTATTTTCAGCTTCATTTAAAAATATAGCTTTCTTGGAAGTTTATAAAGAAACTTCGGTATTATTTTTAAATGGGGGAAAGATTTTCAAGAAATATACACCCCTGATATATAATAAACAAATATATGTTCTAAACTTCTATACAAAGCAAAGCCTTAGTATGAAATATATAAATATTTAATATTTAATTTGTTATTCAATCAAAAAATACAGATTAACATCCTCATACACAATGTTTCATGGACCAATTGTCAGGGACCAATCTTCAGTGAGGTCTGTTCTTGCAGAATATTCCAGTATTTTTTCTGTTTGTATATTTAAAGGAAAAAATTGGCAAATAAGTGTTATTTGAATTTTAAAAAAATACTGATTCATCACAAGCTCTTTGTCACGGTGTCAGCATTTGTTGAGAATTTCTGTTCTTTTGTTCAAAGATTTTTCTTTATTTTCTATGATTATCAACGTTTTTTCCATTATATAAAGCTGGCAGGATTTAGTTTCCTTGTTATATGATGGTGCCAATGCTTTGATACTCCAGGTAATTGTGAAAGGTTTATTCTGCTCCTTCAGCTTCCATACATATGTGGAGAGAGATGCACTGTGTGCCTGTTCTTTATGGTTAAAGGAGGATTTATGGTTGGTAAATCTTCACTTAAAGGTGGTTGAAGCTAAGGTAAGATAATTTTTCTCCTTATTTCCTTTAACAGTTGCCTTGTAGACCAACGAATCTGCTACACATTTATCATCCAATGGGCAAACAGCTTTACCACCTTTACAGTTACGAGCTGTTTCTTTCACTTTGTTCTGTTTGTTTAAACCTTCTTGTTGTGTCCACTGATGATCTTACCCATATTGGGCATACAGCTGTAGCTTACTTTTATGGTGTTTCTATTGAAGTATTAATTGAGAGGGGAGCCAGCTGGAAAATGTTTGTCAACCAAGAGCAGAAACTTATGAGCAACATTTGTAGCTCATAATTGAACCAAATTATTTTCCTTCTTCTTCTGGGAACTGACAGGTTGCTGGTTTCAGCTTAATATTGAAGTTGTTGATTGTATCCAGAATGTCTTGAGTGTGTCACTGTAAATAGGTAATTCATTATCAAAGATCTCTTCACTGTTTGACAGGGTAGATAATCTCTTGCTTATCTTGTTTCTTGGTGTGTGATGGATGGATGGATTATATCAGGGGCGTACGAGGGGGGGGCCGTGCCCCCCCACCCCCCTCTATGTGTGCCCCACCTGAGAGGCTGAGGGGGGGCACCCATGGGGGAGGCTCTTTTAATATTACATCTGCTTGCATTTCCCTTTCTCAGGTCAGGCGAGGAAGGGAGTCCAGAGTTCCTCAAATAGTAATCACCGCCACCCAAATCTGTTTTGAGGCAAGCATGCTCCTCAATTGGTAATCTCCACCACCTCAATTAGTAATCACCGTAAAATTTAGTTTTATGTGATTTGAATTTAATGCACTTTTACCACAATTTTTGACATCTATCAGGGTTTTATGGCATCTGTATTGACTTAAACTAAATTTTCAAATTATTTTCAGATTTGTTTGGTCAACAAAAACTGAGAATCAAGGCACAGTTCATTTTAGCCGAATCTTAGATCCAATTCGCCACTTTAATGACTGCATTTCATGATTGGCGTCAAGATACAAAAAAGGTCGGGCTGCCTGTTTACTAAAAATTATCTCATCGCGCCCAAAGTAATATCAATCTCCATTTAAAAGATATTTTCAAAAAACCTTTACAGTGTTTAGATTTTTGTATTCACCAACTCGAGTTCAACATCTACAACAAAACTAATTATATGCAAAGAAAGGACTTAAAATTTACTAAAAATTTTCTCATCCCGCCCAAAGTAATATCCATCTTCATTTAAAAGATATTTTCATAAAACCTTTACAGTGTTTATATTTTTGTATTCGCCTACTCGAGTTCAACATCTAACAAAACAATTCCGTAATAAAAAAGTACATATTAGTTCTCAGAAATAATTATAGCGGGACAGTATGTGTAAGGATATGCCTGGTACAACCATGTCAAAAATATTTTGACGATTTTATTGACATTTTTTTCAAACAAGGAAGGTAAACTTGAGAAAGTAGGTTGAAATATCAGTGGCGTAAAATAGGGGGGTTATTGGGGTTATATACCCCCCCCCTAGAATCCTGGGGCCCCTAGAATTTTTTTTTAAAAAAGGTTGATTTTAAAATTGAATATCTTTAAAATTTGCACGAAAATAATTCAAATGTGCAGATACTTTGAATTATTTTGGTGAAATATTCTAAGTTTGAAATATCAAAGGTTTACACCACTCGGTGCAAAGATTTAGGGATTAGAATATTTTAGTTTGTGGCAAAAACTCAGTTCCAAATCAGAGAACATTCTGGCAAAGTTCTAACTGATTATCATATTTGATAACCTGTTTATCTTCTTTAAATGAACTTCTATAAAATCGAAAATGAAATAAGATTATAAATGTTAGTTAGAATGATTAATCATATATTCAATAACTTCAGGAGAAAACGTAACATTATCTCTCCTTTTTCAATGTAGGTGATTGAAATTATATATGTATTTTGATAATATAATAATATAACTGATTATTTCTTGTAATTATATCTGAAATTAAACAAGGTACTTAACAAATTTTCTTTGGCGCTCCGCGCACACATGAAATGAATTGACTGACTCATACGTTAATTTTACAGCTGTTGAAAGTATAAATGTTTTTAAAATACAACCTAGAAAAAGTGCTAGTTGTTCCTCTGGAAATTAGAATATAAACAAAGACAATATTTTTTCAAAGTTTTGCAGAGTAGCTTTTATAAAGATACAAAAAAGTAACATCTTTTTCCTCTTAGAGTAAAACTATTTTTTATATTACTTAAAATAAATTCAGTTGTTTACAGATCTTTGTAGTTAATGTAAAATGAATGACCATATTGAAGGGTATAAAACATGGTGAAAGCTGAAAGGTAGGAAATGAAGCCTGTATTTGGTGGAGTTTGTAAAAGCCAGAAATGAGTGGAAAATGCAAATCAAACCCAACTAAAACAAAAAAAAATCGGTTTGCCACAATATAAAAATTTACCCCCTACAGAATCCTTATTTATGCCCCTGTGAAATATTAACATGTCGTTGAAAATTGAAAATTTATAGATTATGTTGTTGGCCCTTTGTTAAACTTCTTAGTTGTTGAACGTGAAAATTATATCAACATAGTATTGGCTGAAATTTCTGATCCAACTTGCGTGACATTATTTTCCTTGTAAGTTAGTTGTTTTATTTAAATTAAAAGTTAAAACTTCAAAATTTCATAGACGTAATTATTGCAAAATTTCGCAAAATTACTTTGTAGAAATTGAAGTTTTGCTAATTACGCATAATTAATACAAAATTTCGCGAAATTACATCTTAGAAATTACGGGAAATTAGGCCATAATTACGCGTAATTATATTTTCGCTTATTACCCGTAATTATTACGAAATTTTGCAAAATTACGTTGTAGAAATTACGCGAAATTACACCGTAATTTCGCGAAATGAATATTTCCCCTATTACGAGTAATCCTGCAAAATTACACGAAATGAAAATTATTACGCGTAACTACATGTAATTACGCGTAAGAGAATAATCTATTACGTTGGAAACCCTAGAGAGCAGACTTAACGATCTTGCACTTATAGCTTTACACCCTATAAGGCTGTCTGAGCTCTCTACTGAAAAAAACATCGAAATGTTTGTGCAAGCAAATCCCAGAAAATTGTAGCTTAAACCTATTCCTGATGGGGGGGGGGGGGTGTCAATTTGCCCCCCCCCCTGTAGTTTTTTTTAAATAACTCAAAAAGTATTGGTAACAAACTAAATCTTTGTTTTGACCCACTTCCACTTGTCAGATTTTGATAAAATTTAGCTTTTTGAAAAGCCTTTGACATAACGAAACGAAATGCATAAGCTTTACGAAAAAAAATTGCAAGATTTTTGCAAACAACCTGTCAAAAGAAATTTGCACATTTTTAGTTTTTCTTGATTAAACTTCAGGTTATTTAAAATTTTGCAAATATTTTTGCATATTTGAAATGGCATGGTCAAGGGCTTTTCAAAAATGTATAATTTTTCATTTTTTGACAAATTTTTTTTGAAAACATTTTTACTATATAACTGGATTTTGCGATTAAAAATTCAATTTTTGCAAATTTGCAATTTTTTTTGCAGATTCTAAAAGTAGAGCACAAGAGCTTTCTANCTACTGAAAAAAGTCATTGAAATGTTTGTGCAAGCAAATCCCAGAAAATTTTAGCTTAAAAGAGTTGGTGAATATGTAGATTGAGTAAATTCTATCTAAAAATTTCAGAAGAAATTTCGTTTATTAGGAAAAGTATAATTTTTAATGATGCTGTGATTATTGATTTAGTTAGCTGACTAATTGGTAGTAGGTAAAAAAGACGTAATGTTAATCTAAAGTGTGCAAGTTGTCTAAGTTAGAAGAGTAAAAAAGTCTCAGACCAAGATTTTGAATTAGGGAAGAACACACTTTAAAGAGTAAGCGTAGTTACGAGTGATCCTTCTAGTGAAGATTGCAATTTCTGATTCACTAAGGCAACCTTTCAAAGCTTTGTCTGATTAAACCCAACAAAAGATATTCTGCACAATAAAATAGAGGTTTCATATAAAGGTTTAAAAGGTACTGTTTTGTGAATTGAGTTTTGCAATCTTTGCATGGAGGTTTACATAAAATTACACTTATAGTCCCTTTATGGGGACTGCTCATTACAAACTTCCAGGACATAAGTTGCTAATTCTCAAATTAATAAACAGAAAAATGTTTTGATAATATTTATATATATGTTAAATTCAACAAATCTAAAAAATAACGACAATTCTTTGTAAGATTTAGAAGAACACTTTTATTATTTTTAGAGATAATGTAAAATAATATTCTGAAATGAATGAAATATTTAAATTCAAAATCATAAACTCCATTGTAGTAGATTTTGTGTCTCCCATTCAGGTGATGCTTCTGCATTGTATTCCTGTAAGGTTTCAGTTATCCAACTCACTGAGATGAGAGTTTACTGGAATTTTCTTATTTTCAAGTTGTTTTATTTTGTATTAGTTGTACCAGGCAGTTGGCAATGTGATAAAGGAGTACAGGATGGGACGACAGGGAAAACATATAAAATTATTGAAGAATCACCAACTAATTTTCCAGGATGCAAAGAGGTAGATATATTCATACATACATTGATCATACTGCGTGGGTTCTAATAAACATGGCAATTAAGAAAAACTTGAAAATCGCATTTGGTTTACAATTACTAATAAATGAAAAAAAGTGAATTAAAAAAACAGGTTGTATGTCTTATGGGCATTCCAAAATATGTTCTTCCTTCTTTAAATCTTTAAAATTGAGAGTTGAGGTCAAAACTGTTGTATGGAATATGGCTATTCAACAAGACTTGATTTGAGGGATGAGCGCTTTAGTTTTTAGTTATCCCTGCCTGATAAACATAATGTGGCTGACAAAGGGAAGTTCTCATTACAACAATGTCTGCAATAAACCTGCATAGATGGCAAATATCATACACAACAGGAATAAATACCTGAACTCAGAAAACAAGAAGATTGTAAAAATGATTATCTGCATTCTGCATTAAATACATGTATCAACAAATTTGTTTCATAAGAAATTAAAAATAAATAAATTGTTAAAGTTAAAAATCTCTATTTCCACTCTGGTCGACACTTTTGATTTTCTGGATAATCCTCTTTTTTGGATATCTCTGCAGAGCCGGTGATTTAAAAAATTCAGGGAAATACGGCTCGGGTCTAAGCTGTCATTGGACCTTATTTACGGCTTTAGCTTTCGGATTAAAGCTGCATCTAATTTTCCACAGAGTTGAGTTCATTATTCTCCCCTAAAACCAACCAAGGTCGGTTTTATTTTCATTGGGCCTGACTTCTTACGTCGAGCCGAAGATCTTGCAGCTGTCAATCATGTGACACAATCTGTCGTTAGAGTTGGGTCGAAGACTGGGTCTTAAAGTTGGGTTTAAGGAATTACGACTTGGGCCGAAGCTTTTAAATCACGGGCTCTGGTTTCCATTGGTTGTGCTTTTGATTGGCAATTTGGCACCACTCTGATTGGTTGAATTTTAGACACTTTCCTGGATATTAAATGCAGAATGGATATTGATAAAGTAAATTAGTAAATTTATTCTTTTGGTGTACATAATTTACAATATTCTATTTACATGAATTATTTTCAAAATTTATGATGTTAGCATATTTCTTTTATTGCAGAAGTTATATAAAATAAAAAGTATTTTTATTCAGGATAGTCAGATGTTGGAAGCAAATGGAATAAAATATTGTCTTGCTAAAGTTCCGGATTTTTTAACCTATTTGCAGTGTGCAGGTGATTCTAGAAATTTTTTTTAAAATTTAGAAAAATTTATAAAAATAATTTAAAATACAAATTACTGCATCACATTTGTAGCAACTGTATAATCATCTGTTTTAACAGTTGAATTGGGTTTCACTGCACTAATATTCCTAACACTTTTATCAATTTAGAAAAAGTTTTTTAATGTGCTTAGTATGAATGCTATTTTTGTGATATTTGTGAGATTTTGGGCATCAAAAATGAAGCAAATTTATTCTCTTAGCATGATGATTGTCCAAATTTAATTATCTATCAAGCATTTGTTGGTTACCTTTGAATCTTGATAAATTTAACTATTTGAAAAAAATTCATTTTTAATCAGGCTTTTTTAATCTAGTTGTATGATTCAAGATCTTATATTTGGGGGTTTAAGCGTGTATTATATGTAATTTCTTATACAAATTTAACAGATGTATTGCAGCATGAAAATTCAGATGGCTCTAACAGACTTTTAATTGATTTAAACCCTGCAGGTAGATTTAGAAAACTATAGTTTTATAATGATAAAAAACATCTGAACTGATTTATTCAGATGATTCAGCGTTTTCACGATCTTTTGACTATGGATCCTCAGAATTCTGTAAAGAAACTTTTGTTAAATCCTGTGTAAAAGCCAACATAAATCCAGATCTGCTTGGAAAGACTATTGAACTTCCTGGAAACATTGAGCTGAAGTTCACAAATAAAGTACCCGGAGATGAACATGCTTACAACTATGAAGGGGATGATGCAGTTTTAATTATAACATACAACCCAGTCAATAAAACTATGCAAGGCCTTGCAACCTTAGAAGACGGTAGGGCTTTTAATTTAGAATATGTTGGAGATGGGGTTCATCTATGGAAAGAGATGAATCTGAATGAGATTAAAAAACTTGAATACGGCCAAACTGGGAACAGAGGAATAGGTCATGGTCAAGATGACACCATTGATGTAAATGTAACTGAAAACACTGCAAACAGAATGGAACCTGAAATACACAACGACAACACTACCATGGTCTATATTTCTGTCCGGTTTTACTTTACTCCCCAGTTCTTAGTGAAGACCCCAGATGTTATTGGTTTTGTTGCAAAGATTGCAGCTGTAACTAATCAAGGGTATAAAAACAGCAAGGTCCCAATAACCATTGTTGTTCATTGTATTGAACCATTAGAAATTGCTGAAGTTTATTCTGATTCAGAACAGCTAACAAATTTTGCTAGCATCAAGGGAGATAATTACAAGGATATACTAGGGTCAGCAGATGCTGCCACGCTATTGGTTTCTGGAGAAAACTTTAGCTCGTGCGGAATTGCATACGTTAATTCTGTTCTTCTTGGTTTCACATTTTCTGTTGTTACAAAATCATGTGCTGACACAAACTACAGCTTTGGCCATGAAATTGGGCATCTTTTGGGATGTGCTCATAATGTTGAGGATGATAACAAACCTTCATATCCCTACGGTTTTGGGTACTTTTTCCCCAGCGGTCAGGGGAAATCAGGGTTTAGAAGCATAATGGCATATGCTGCTCCTAACTATCCAACTAGGACGAACTATTTCTCCAATCCTGATGTAGTATTTCCGGACACTGGGACTGCAACAGGCGTCCACGGGAAAGCCAATAATGTAGCAGTGATGTTAAGAAACCGGTTTTCCATGGCAAAGGTTGGGGATGAGAACAAAGGGTGTAATTTGGATTGGTTAAAAAATGCAAAAGTAAGTAAATAAATATGAAACATTTAAGAATAATGGTCTTAACATAATATGTATGTGTCATCTCAATATTAAATATATATATTGCAGTTATTCATTTTTTAATCTTACTTTATAAGCAGACGTTTTTCGAAATTTACTTCAAATAAATGTAAAATTCCCCTCCTTCAAAATTAAATTGAAAGGTTCACACATAATAAATATGATATGGTAAAAAAAGGATGTAGGATGAGTAGGATAGACTATTGGATTTTAATATTGTAGGGTGGGGTGGAGAGTGTGTGACACCAATTATCAGTAGATCACTAAAGTTAAGCACACTTGTCCACAGCCAGTAACTAGTTTGGTGTCCAGACTGGTGTTCACGGGTTCGATTCTCATACTCCACACAAACCTGTGGTATCAAAAATATCTGAAGCTGACATCTGGTTAAGCAGTTATGACCACCTGACGGATGTAGGAGGACAGAGGGGCGGCTGTCAACAACTCTCTCAGCGAAAGGGTGCGTGCATCCTACTCAACAAGAAAGAAGCTTAAGTGGATTGATCCAAGTGAATGATGATGAAGTGAGGAATGGTGGAAAAGCAGGGAGAGTCTATGGTTGCCAGCTATAGGTACCTGGGGGTATCCAATCCGGGCTTACAGATGTTAGGTAGCAATGAGTGTGATGTTTTTATCAGTATGGCACCCGCATCAGTATCTCAGAAGGATTCCTGCACTCTATATTCTCAGGCCTAATAAGAATCTGAGGCAGCTGGAATCAGTATGAATGAAGTGCGGATGGATGAATGTGCTGCCAGATTACAACCCCTGGTAGATCAATATAAAAACCCAGATCCGAGATTTGAGCGTAACAACCCGATCATGTCCTGGTGACAAAAAATCTCTTTTAAAAAAGGATTTTTTGCACAAATTGAAGTTCTAGCTGACACTAAAGGGTGTTTTAAAAAAAACACTTAACACTTTTTACTCTCAGAGTCTTAATTTTAACATGATCATAATGAACTGAATATCACAATTTCTTTAGGAAGTGAGGACTATGTGATCAAAAAATTATTGTATTTGGTCAACTCTGTTCTGAATAAATGTTCTTTGTCTCTTAGAGATGGAACTGATAAGCCTACATGCAAAAAAAATCATTTCCAAAGCTAAGAATGGTACAGACCTCGCACGAAAATTGCAAGAATCTGTTTAAAGAAATCCAATATAAACCTAAAACTCTGAACCAGTTCCTTCACTTCTCCCTCAACTGCAAAGAGTGAAGTGTTTGGTTTTTTTAAACACCCTTTACTTGTTTTAAATTTTTTGAAAAGTCAATAGATGTCAAAGTTGATTGTTGTGTAGTAAACACCTACTCCAAAACAAGTTCTTGAACGTATCTATCCAGGTACAATCTGTCCACTATCAAACTCAACCAGGACTGAATCCCAGGCTCTAAATGCCACATAGGGCAAAAAGATACCTATCAAAATCCTGCCATTTATTCAGTGTTCAACCAGGACTGAATCTCAGGCTCTAAATGCCACACAGAGACACAAGCGTAGCTATCAAACTAGTAATATAACGATCCCAAACGATAGGGATGATCCAATGTTCTAAATGTCACACAGGGACACGATCCCGTGAATTATCCATGCCACTACACGGGGAGCAATCCTGTTAGCTATCAGTGTCATTACAGACACTAGCAATCAATTGAACAATGTCTCAAACAGGAGTTTTGCAGAATTTCATGTTTCCATGATTTTTGCTACAGTTGTGCTTCTGTAAAGCTTTCAATGGAGTAATAAAGAAAGCTTCAACAATATTGTACACCTCAAGGCCATTAACAGAGGTCAATATGGTCTTATTTCTAAGGAACAGGCGATTTAATGTTACAGTTTTTTGTCTGATTACCAATTGAGGTGGTGGAGATTACCGATTTAGGAGCAAACATGCCACAAAACACGTTTGGGTTACAGTGATTACCCATTGAACACTTCTGCACTCCCACCCTGTAGAGACACCTAGTGGCCATAAAATTGTCATTTAAAGTAAATCGTATATAAAAATAAAAATAAATATTTTGAAATATCAACTATGTATGTACGAATACATCAAAATGAATTCGAGATTTTTAGGTTGTAATGATAAATAATTAATTTTGAAATTGATTGAATTATTTACGATCAGAGAGTAATAATTGCAACTCCATGAATTTGTATGGGTCCTACTACTTCGTTCTTCAGTTTGAGACGTTTTTACCCCTTTTTCCTTATATACGAAATAGACAAAATTAAAATTAGCAGGCCCGTAACTAGAGGGGGGGGGGGGTAAGGCCCCCTAGCCTGATTAAGGGGGGCATGCCCTTCCATTAAGAAGGGGGGAGAAGTCCACCTTGTTTTTCAATTTAGCGATTCATGAATTCCTGGGAAAGGGAAAGGGGGTTTATTAAGTATTTTTAGACATTTTAACTATTAGTTCTGCCACTTATTATGATATTGCTTTAATACTGTAGTACAACTATTAAGTTAATCCTACGTACATGTTCACTGCAAATATTGTGTGATGTATCATATTAAAAAAATGTTTTTCATGTCAATCATGATTTTTTAATGAAAGGCATTAATCTTGTCATTGTCTGAGTACAATGTACATATTTGATTTATGGATGCATAATGAATATATATATATAATATGTAAATTGTAAATTAATTAATATTGTGATTTATATTCACCAGAATATATTTCTTTTTTATATCATATCAGATGTGTTGACTTACTGAATAGTCGGTTGGTAACGTTATTTTTTTATTGCTTAAGTATGATACACATTTTTCTTGCCCCCCCCCCTCCTAAAAATGTTTGGGGGGGGGGCAAAAAAAATATTTCCCTCTTGCCCCCCAAAACAAGTTGAGCGCCTGGTTTTGTGATCGATTTAGAATTCAATTCGATATCAGCCTATATCCCATTTCATTTTTCAAGAACACTCCCTTTAAAATTACTATTTTACTCTTTTTACATACACAATTAACATGTACTTTTCAGGTTAAATATATAAAGTGTTTCTTCAATGGCCATATTATTGCCCTGAGGGGAAGACTACGGCATGGGTTGGAGTTAGAAAGTGGTACACGAGTGCTAATATTCCAATAAAAGAAAATGTTTAACAAAGAAGATATGGATTATGGACCACATACTTAAGAGGGGGGAAATGGGTTGAGTGGTATTTGGTGCATTTCAAGGGTTAGAAAAGTGGTGCATTTGTAGTGGGGGGGGGTAGATTGTATGAATTTATTTGTATTGTAAGCAGTGAGCATGATTTTGTGTGAGAATGAGTTGTATTCTTATATTCACAGATTGTATAGATTTTATATCTAGATCAGAACTGCTTACTGCGCATACGCCATGAACTGCAAGGTGTGCAGGGTGTCACAAGAAAAAATGGTAGATGTTTAGGATTTGTTTTGATTTAAATCTTTACAAAAAAAACTCTTGTCTGATTCAAAAATGATATTTTTTGAAGTTTAACGCCAAGGCAATATTCAAATCAGATTTTGTTTACAGTTTAATATAAACAAAACAATACTGTATCTATGATATTAATCTAACCGTTTAGTTTGGTCAGATGAGCTCAATATAGAAAGGGACTGTTGACGAAATTTCAAGGGACCCCTGAGCCCGCGATTTAAAAAATTCGGGGAAATACGGCTCGGGTCTAAGCTGTCGTTGGACCTTATTTACGGCTTGAGCTTTCGGATTAAAGCTGCATCTAATTTTCCACAGAGTTGAGTTCATTAAACCGGTTTAATATTCTATTTGTCGGATTTTCATGGTAGGAATTGGCGCATTCCCAGTTTTAATTAGAACAAGACGCAACATTGAGCCTTATTCTCCACTAAAACCAATCAAGGTCGGTTTTATTTTCATTGGGCTTAACTCCTTAAGTCGAGCCGAAGATCTTGCAGCTGTCAATCACGTGACACAAGCTGTCGTTAGAGTTGGGTCTAAGATCGGGTCTTAAAGTCGGGTTTAAGAAATTACGACTCGAGCCGAAGCTTTTAAATCGCGGGCTCTGATTCCCTTTTATCATGAATTGATATTATGGAGAACAAAATTATGTTGAATTACTAACATTTAATAATTTCGTTCTCCGACAACTTGCTATAGTAAGGAACTCTGAATGGAAACGATCCTGCAGTAACTTAGGAACACACTTTTCCCTCCCTTTATAGAACTGATAAATGTTTTAAAGCACTGTTCATAGCCGGCGATTTAAAAAATTCAATAAAATACGACTCGGGTCTAAGCTGTCGTTGAGCCTTATTTACGGCTCGGGCTTTCGGATTTAAGTTGCATCTAATTTTTAACAGAGTTTAGTTCATTAAACCGGTTTAATGTTGTAGTTGGCGGATTTTCATAGTTGGAATTGGCGCATTCCGGGTTTTGATGAGAATAAGACCCAACATTGAGCCTTATTCTTCACTAAAACCAACCAAGGTCGGTTTTATTTTCATTGGGCCTAACTCCTTAAGTCGAGCCTAAGATCTCGCAGCTGTCAATCACGTGACACAAGCTGTCGTCAGAGTTGGGTCGAAAATTGGGTCTTAAAGTCGGGTTTAAGGAATTACGGCTCGAGCCGAAACTTTTAAATCGCGGGCTCAGGAGTCCTGAACAAAAATATAACAAAGAAGTTTGGACTTAACTTTCTATCAGAGAGAGAAATCATTTAAGGAGTAATGCTTTACTGCATTTTCAAATCAGAAATCCTGACGAGGCAATTTTCTTTTGGCACACGGAAATACATATTTGCCTTCACAAACTTGTGGGAAAAATTAAGACTGGTGGAGCTATAAGGTCGCAAAGTCGTACTCGTAATGTGGAAAAAATTCGAACTTCCTACTTTGTATAGTTTTTAGTGAACTCGGACAAACGGGAAACTGCAGAAAGTTAACAAAGTCCATAAATGATATATAAACTCTATATGAATGATATAACATTCAAATATTTAGTTTGACTAGAATACTGAATATATCCCCCCTCCCTCCCTCCCTCCCCTCCTGCTATGTTCCATGTCTTTAAAGATGCATGTCTTGATTTCTCTATTCAAAACT